TTCTCTGCCTGAGTGTTTTCTGCAGCATCAGGGGGTTTGCTGAGTCATACACAGCAGCAACTCCAAGGGCAGGGGAGTTAATGTTCCAGAAACAACTGTTGACAATAAGGAAAAGAAGAATGGTGGAGGCCAGCCTCCTAGCCTCCAGTGGAACAAGTCTGAGGTGACTTCCATACTGTTTCTCAGAGGGTGCCCAGACAGAGTGAGCCCCAGTTGCCCCCAGGGGTAATCTGCTCATTAAGGCACTTTTTTTTTTATTGGCTTTTCTCTCTTCCCTGTCTAATTTCCCCCACTCTCCCTCTAGTGCTTCCTGAGATCATCTCCCAAGTAAACCACTTGGACCCTGTCGCAGTGGCAGTGAATGTCGGGACGGCGGAGACAGTAACCAAACACAACTCTTACAGAGAAGTGGGGCCAGGAGGGTCACTCTGAGGAGTTGACCCTGGCGTCAGTCCCAGGAGTTTATTTATAGTCAATACAGCAAGCAGTGAAGCAAATAACAGAACAATGGGCTTTGGGTGCAGGCAAGGGAGAAGGAATTCAGGTAAATAAGTCAATCAGTAAAGGGACAATAGGTTTGGGAAAACAAGTCGTGACAAGTCTCAACATGTTGGGGACAAGTCTCAGCATGTTGGGGACAAGTCTCAACATGCTGTGCAGCATAGAGGCCTGTGGGGGCTGCAGTTGTCAATAGTGCAGCCATGTTTAAATGGCATATATCCCCACAGGACCCAAGTCTTTGTCTCAGAGTCTGACTTTGGGGAAACCCAAACTAAGGCACCAAGCCTAGCTCATCATTTTGGAGATGATTCTTCAATTTTTAATGAAGGTGGAAACCTCGGATGTTTTATGAAACCTCGAATGTTTTATGTGAACCATCTAACTCAAGAACCATACATTGCACTCTCTGACCCCTTATCCACATTCCAACGTATAGTCTCTGGCCCCCATTAAGGAGGCACTTTGACACTCAGGGAAAACCAGACCTGTTGTCGCCGTCCATATATTTGAAACAGGAAGAGTGGTGGTCTAGGATGGAATGAGAGTACACATCTGCTCAGTACTCCCTGCCTGACACTTACCTTGATCTTCAGGTACACTTTCTCTCTGTCTAGACCAATTGCTTAGTTTGACTAATGGGGAAGTCTGCCCGTGGCTTACACTGCCTATGCCGCCTTACTCTTGGGTGCGCCCAAAGCCAACTCCAACGGCCACAATTGCTATCGCTGTCCGTGGTGCTGACCTAGCGCATGCCTCCATGTGGCCGTATGTTTTTGCTGTCCGTGGTGCTGACCAAAGGTTCTTTTCAATGTCCACGAAGACGCTGCCGACTGAAAGAGCAAGCTTTTGAGGCACAGGAGAGGATCCAAGGATAAATACGAGACTTTGGCTCCTACTGAGGTGCATCATAGGATTTAAGATACGGGCCTGTGCATCCCCCATTAATACTAAAGAATCAATACTTGTCCTGCTCCATATTTCCAGAACAAGTTCTGGAATTTAGAACAGTTGATGGAGGAGAGTAAGGAAATAGCAAACAAGGTTATATCTCCCAGGCCATTAGCCACAGCAAGGAATCCACCATACTTTGAAAATTTCTTCTTTCTGATTTCCCATATCTAATCTATCAGGAACTGTGAATTCTGTCTTCTAAATATCTCTTGCATTAGTCCACTTTTTTTCACCTCCAGCACCATTTACATGATGACGGTGATCGTCACCACTAACCCCATTACCACTCTCACACTGGTTGCTCTAGTTACCATCATTTTTTGCTTGGATCATCTCTCTAGGATAAAATTTTCAAAGTGGAATGACTGAGTCAAAGTGTAGGTACGTTGTGAAAGTATCTTGTCAGAGTATCTGTACCAAGTTGCACTTGTATAATAGGTTCAGTGCCACTCTCAGATTGCAAGTGCTCTAAACAGCAGTGCATTTATTTTTACAAAAATTGATGGCATTTTACTGTATGTAAACTATACTTCAATAAAAAGATTGGCCCAAAGAAATCAATTAAACTGACACTTAGATAGTAGACAGGCTTGGCGATCTGCTTCCCAAAGGTCACAGCCTTGAAAACCCTATGGAGCGGTTCTACCCTGCATGCATGGCGTCGCCATGAGTCAGAATTGACTTGAGAGCAACCAACAATAACGTAAAGTGCTTAGCGTGTGCCATGGCTGGGATACATGTACATGGTGTTTCAAAGCAAACCTTTGAGATAAGTTCTATTTTCCAGATGTTGTGATTGGAGTTGTGGTGGTGCAGTGGTTAAGAGCGTGGCTGCTAACCAAAAGGGTGGTGGTTCGAATCCACCAGATGCTCCTTGGAAACTCTATGGGGCAGTTCTACTCTGTCCTATATAGGGTCACTATGAGTTGGAATCAACTAGATGGCAACAGTTTTGGTGTTTTTTGGTTGTTTGCGTAAGGTGCCGTTGAGCTGATTTTCCAGATAGAATGACGAAACCCAAATAGATCAAGAAACTTGCTGGAGAAACCCCGAGAGTATGGCCCCCAGACACCCTTTTGGCTCGTGGTGAAGTCATCTCCGAGGTTCACCGTTCAACCTGGGAGTGGACAGCCCCATAAAACCAAATGGGACTAATGAGGTACAGCAGTCCAGGGACAAGGGCCAGAAGGCAGAAGGGGACAAGGAAGCTGGTGATAGGGAACCCAAGGTTGA